CTTAGCAGAGGTAAAATGTGGACATATGATGGTTATTCATAGTGCATCCTAAAGTTTTACCTCAATCAAAAGTTATTTTAAGTGTCTTTACTCCAATTTGAAATTAATATAACCTTATACACACATATACACAAACACAGAGTGGTTGGCACATATATGGCAATTTATTAGCAAGTTTAGCTATCTAAAGGCATGAGAATCTTCATCGTACTTTCCTGAATATTTTCTGTACTTCAAAAGTTTTCAAAACAAAAAACTGAAAACAGAAAGCTATAATATTGAGCTGCAGTTTAAGACAGCATGGCGGATTGAAGACATGCATTTACTTCCACTTCTCCTTGGCTTCACCATACTAACAATAACAGAATTAACAAAAAGCCAGACACCAACAATCATAGAGAAGAGGTAATAAAGATAGAACACTAAAGTCAGGAAGTGGCTTACTGGTAGCAACTCACTTTGCAAACATAAGAAATCCAAAACCTAAATTAGCAGCAGGGAAAATTCCCCTCTGTCCTTTGGAGAAGCTGAACCGAGAGGACTGCAGACTACGGCTACCAGGCAATGCAAAGAGAAGTACTCTGATGAAAATAGTAGTGTTATGTAAATTTATATATGGTGAAAACTGGGGTCACCCTCCAGTTTCTCCTCCCAGATGGAGCTGTGACTTCAAAATTCTGACAGTTTGTTTAAACCTCAAATTCTATATCCAGCAAAATTTCAACGAAGTGAGTGAATATATAGACACGTCTATTCTTTAAAAAGATTATCTCACAAGTAAAAGATTATCTCTTTCTTTCTCTGTTAGATGTTCTCATTTAATAAAAGGGTGGAGTGGTTAAAAAAATACATTTTTTAAAGTTGAAGTGTAGTTGATTTACAATGTTGTGTTAGTTTCTGGTGTTATTTGGTTATACATATATATATATTATTTTTGTATTATTTTCCATTATAGTTTACTACAAGATATTGAATATAGTTCTCTGTGCTATACAATAGGATCTTGTTTGTTTTATATATAGTTTGTATTTACTAAAAAGCATAACCCACCCAGACTTCAGACAATTTTGCAAAGCTACAGTAATCAAAACAGCATGGTATTGGCACAAAAAGAGACATATGGCTCAATGGAACAGAGAGTTCAGAAGTAACTCCACACACCTATGGCCAATTAGTCTGTGACATTTGTCAAAGGCAAGAATGTACAGTGGAGACCAGACAGTGTCTTCAGCAAGTGGTGTTGGGAAAGCTGGACAGTCACATGTATATCAATGAAGTTAGAATACTCCCTCACACCATATACAATAACAAACTCAAAATGTCTTGAAGACTTAAATATAAGACATAACACCATAAAACTCCTAGAAGAGGTTAAAAAAAAAGTACATTTAATTGAGAAAATGAAAGTGAAGGGATATTCCAGGAAACTGAGATAGTAGCCAGTCCAGACTGGAGTAGGACATATTGTTCTGGGAAAGATGATGCAAGAAGATAGAAGTGATAGAAAACTTAATGCACTTCAAATACATTAAGAGTATATGTATGTATTTTCTAGCAGAATTTGAAGGGCCAATTAGTGACACACAAAGAATAAAAGTGAAATAAAGAAATTAATTCAAGGTAAAACAAGATTTACATAAGAAAAGTGAGCCATCAATAGTCACTATAAAGTACAGCTGCAGCTGTGAATAGTTATATGAGCATAATAACATAAACAGAAGTATTAATATAACCCAGCGTCACATGATTGTATTGGAAAGTGAAGGAAAGGGAAGGACACTTCCACACGGTGGTGATGGGAAGGAAGTGAAGGTACGTTTCTGTTGTTTCAAGTGAGAAGTTAGTATGTGATGCAGAAAACTGAAAAACCAAGAGTTGACAGTATAAGCGTATTATTTAGAGAGTAAGTAAAGGAAGAATTTGCTGAAAAAGTGAAAGTGATTACTTTAGGCTGTGGGAAATGGGGGCAGGGAAGGGAGAAGAGGGCCCCTAGAAACTGCTGTCTTTCACCATTGTTAGCCTTGAAGAAGTGTTTGATGTTTTTCAAAATGATTATCATTATCTTAAAGCTATTTGGGAAGGCATTATTCACTTTCAACCTCTACTACTAGTTTAGTGATGTTGAGTTGAGCTAAGTCTAAAGATTATTCACAATTACGGGGTGAGTGTGATGGAGTATGTGGATTTTACTGGATCCAGCCAGGGTCTTACAGGAAGTATAACCTCATAATTTCTGAGTAAGGAGGAGTGGGGCAGTATGGACACAGGCCTGGAGAAAGGAGATGTATGAAGCCAAACAGAAGAACGAAGCTGGTAAGATGGTGCCAGTTTAACTCAAATAACTTTCTTTTTGAGCCTTTTTTGGGGGCAGAAGGTGAAATTGTTGTTTTCCAGATGGCTTCCAAATAGATGGGATCCTCTACTCACCAGCAGCTCCGGGAAACCAGGTGAGTCAAAGAATAAGCAGGAGCACCAGTTTCTATGCTCTCTTGCTGAGCCCAACA